CCTCAGGGGGTGCTTTCTTGGGATAGTGAATGGGATCCCAGAAAATAAGAATTTTCCTCTGCCCATTGATAGAAAATGGCCAGTACGGTCATAAGAAACAGAGGCTTCTGAATAAGAAACAAACCAGCTCAAAGAAACCAACACCCCAATTATAAATGCATCCCACATTGCAATTTTCAAACCCATAATCCCCAGAAAAAAAATAATATCTTCAAGATTGAAACTTTACAAAGAAATGTGAACACTTTTAAGAAATATGAAGCAAAAAGACTCAATTTTTATTTAGAACACACAGTCAAGAAAGTAAGGCAGACAGCAATTTGTCCATTCCTTTGAGTTTTTTTTTTTAATAATTTGGAGTTGTTTTTTCTTGGTAATAACAACAAGTGATGGAGAATCTGCAGACGCAGTGAAGGTGTTTGTGTGTTTGTGTGTGTATTATTATCACAGTGTGTGTGTGTGTGTGTGTGTGTGTGTTTTGTAGTGAATATTGATTCTTGAAAAAATTAGGTGCTTCTGGAGCTGCTTTTAAAGGCCAAGATTTGGCAAGTTTGAAAATGGAAGTAGGCCCCACTTTCGCCTTCCATCCCAACTATATGTAATAAATTCATCTATTTTTTCTTATTTTCAATTTCCTCATTTAAAAATATAAATTACCTAAATAATGTCATGACAAAATCAGTTAAAGTTGTTAGTTATTAGTTGATGAGTTTGCAAAACAAACTTTTATATACAATTTTTTGAAAAAAAGTAATAATAATAAGGCACGACTAGGGGTGAAAGTCGGATGGATCGAATCGGAATTAGCCTTTTCGGAAAAATTCCAAAAAAAATCGGAAGTACAAAATCAATTCCAATTCCAATTCCAATTTTTTCGTAATCTAAAAATTCATTCCAATTCCAAAAGGCCCGGAAATTTCGGAATTTCGGAAAAAAATCGGAAATCACATAAGCTTTAAAATTTCAAAACTTAGCCGAAATTTTCTAAAATGTTCATAAATTTTCAAAAATAAGAACATCCACGTCAATAAAAGTAAAACTAATAAGTAATAACTACTAAATTTCAGTTCGAAAAAATAAATAAAAATAAACACAACACAATATCCAATAAAACTTCTAACAACAATTCATTATGTCAAAATCCTAAAACAAAACTTATAGGTGTATTTGTCGGAAATGAAGGATTATATAATATATATTATTTATAGGTGTATTTTTCGGAAAGAAAATCGGAAATTTTCGGAATTAATTTCGGAATTAAATCGGATCGGAAATCGGAAATTCCAAATTTATTTTATATGATTCCAATTCCAATCCAAAAAATTCGGAAAAATTCGAAAATCGTAATTTCGGAAGTCGAAATGAAAAAAGTTGTTCCAAAATCGAAACTTTTCGGAACGGAACCGGCGGAAGTTGGAAATTCCGTTCCAACTTGCACCCCTAGGCACGACTTTAATCACAATAGTCGAGAAAAGTTGTTGCAGTAGTATTCTTCATATTACGGCTTAAAACATCTTATTTTAATCTTATTTTAAGAGAAGCAAAAGCAAAATCAGCATTTACGAAAATTCGAACAGGTTTTCCAATGATGATTTTCCAATTTTTGTTTTAGTAAAAGATTACTTTAATAATCACTTTTTTGAATTATTTGAAATCATGTCTTTGTTTGGGAATAATTTTAACCATTTTACCCTTCTTTCGTTTTCATGTTTGAAAATATATTTATTAATTATATGATTTGTTTTGAAGTAGGATAGAAAATTAGTGGGAAGGAATCTAGTTAGTTTGAAAGTCACAATCTTGATTTCATCATGAACACTAATTTAAATTTAATTTAATGTTTTAAGAGTTCCGATTATTGAAACATTACATATACAGTCAAACCGCTATAAATTAATAGAGCTGAGACTAAAAAAATTATTAAATTTAACAAATTATACTAATTTAGCGACTTGAGTGTGGAAAAAAATATTATTTTAACGAGATTACTAATTTATTGAATTTCTTATATATATAATAAAGTTAAAAACATTTAAAAATAAAATAAATTTGATATGGATAACAAAATTGACAATGGGACGGTTATTTACAATGATGTTGGAAATTCATACAAGCAAAGTAACTGGGCTTGCAATAATATGAATATTTGCATGCACACCTAATCAGCCCATCATTCTCTCAGTAATTAATAATTATCTGATAGTGATTATAAGTTTTAACAACTTAATTAATGAAAATTGAACCTTAATCATCTGATATTTTTTTTCAAATAAAGTAAGCTTCATATCAATCATGATCAACCCTAATCATCATAAAGTAATTCATACTCCATGTATTTATTGCCCCTTTCTTTTTATTTTTTTTAACTAGCAATTCTCCCCATGTGATAATTAAATTGTATTAAAAAAAAAAAGTACACAACATTAAAATAATTAGTTGTAAAATTTAAATTACCATAATAACATCATGAAATTAAATTAGGGAGATATTTATATAAAAAATCTGCATTGGTGTATGCGTGAGCTAGAGATATTTTGTTTTACTCATCCAATAATTAAAATAAAATAAAAAATCACATGGGTGTGTGTAAGAGAGAGAGATTTACAAAAAATAACAAAATAACTATTCGATGAGATTAGGATTTTGCTAGTCGATTTGTAAATCTGACTTGCAATGAAAAAAAAAAAAAAAAAAAAAACTAAAAAATAATAGATGAAAAGTAAAATTACAAACATAATATTAGTGGTTTCTTAGATTACCCGAACACTTCTTTTTAGGGTAAATTACAAACACCCCCCTGAGGTATAGTCAAATTACAAAAAAACCCCTCTTGTTTGGATAATTACATCTACCCCCCTCAACTATGATTTTTTCTTACCTTTATGGTGCCAAATTCAACATAGTCATCTAGATTCCGTGAAATGTGCTATAGTTTGTACTCTTTGTGTAAAAAATACAGTTTCCGATGCACCACAAACTGACATATACAAGCTAAAAGTCACATATTATGGTCATCTTGCTTCATAATGTAGAGTTTGAATGGGATAAAACGGGTACAAAAGTGATAATATTCCATATAATCTCGAAGATTCCACTAAATTTGATGAGTTGAGGGGGGTGGTTGTAATTATCCAAACAAGAGGGGTGTTTTTGTAATTTGGTCATACCTCAGGGGGGTGTCTGTAATTTACCCCTTCTTTTTATATACAAAGATTGTTGTCTATATATCTTGCACACAATTAAGAATCATAATAAATAGCTTTAGTTTTAATAGAAAAAGTACAAAATTACCCTCGTATTATTATGCAACTTTACATTAATAATAAGTGCAAAATAAAATAAAAATAAATCTCGCACGTATAGAATGATTGTTTTATTATATTTATTTATGGATATGGTTACCAATAATTAATAATATAAATTATTATATTTTCCGTCCATGCAACAACGTTGATGCATGATGAAATAAAAGTCAACACATTAGCTGTTCGAGACTAAGACTTGAACTTGCTCATATAATTATTATTATTAATAATTGTATATATATACACATAACACATGATTGTGTCACGCCAAACATTATTGGAGATCTGATAGAAAAATAATTTTTATATCACAAATTTTAATTTTAATATTTAATTTGTTTTATTCGGTGCTTAAATTAAATGAAATTTATATTGTTTGTTAAGTGAGATTGTAACTAACCCCGTGCATCGCACATACTATTGAATTTGGAATAATCTTTTACTCAAATTTTTAAAACTTTGCCTTTTTATATTTCTGATTTTTTTTTTTCAAATTTGTTTTATATACAACTCGATAACAATAAAGGGTCAACAGATAGTTATACAACTAAAATGGTACTAATCAATTTCAATTATTTATACAAATTATAAAGAATGAACTAGTAATAGTCATTTATACTTATTAGTTTTTATTTTAATCTTAATTAGAATACAATGGCATAATTAATTTTAGCTAGCTGGATGTAAGCTGTTCTTTTTTCCAACAAATAATTGAGGCAATGGGACACAAAAACCATTAATGTTTATTGTAGCAATTTTGAATAGCAAACTTTCCCCTTTAATTTTAATTTAATTATTTAATTATTAAATTATATATATTTTTTGATTATCAGCTAATTATATGTGGTGCCCTTAATAGTCCTAATTAATATTTCTTCAAACATCATGCACAATTCACAAATACCATTTTCATTTAACAAAAATAAGCATCAATAATAGTAAGATTAGTGTTGACCCATTTAAAATTTAGGGCATATTACAAATAAGCCCATCAGTGGGAACTTATTCATAAAGAGATCCAGACAATATTCTCCTTTACCAATAAGTCCACACATGGTCCAGATTTATGTAAAGGACTAAAATAACCCCTCTTACTTTTATATGCTCCAATTTCATCATTAACTTAATTTAACTTCAATTTGACCCCAAATTTCACAAATTATTCAATTTTGACCCAAAACTTTTTTTTTTTCACAAATTTTTTTTTTCAAAAACTTTTTTTTTCCGCCGGATTCCGGCGTTGACTTTTTTTTTTTTTTTTTTTTTTTTCTTCCGGATTTTTTTTTTCCGGATTCCGGCGTTGACCGGCGGTCAACGCCGGTCTCCGGCGTTGACTTTTAATTTATTTATTTATTTATTTTTTTTTCTTCCGGATTTTTTTTCCGGATTCCGGCGTTGACCGGCGGTAAACACCGGTCTCCGGCGTTGACTTTTTTTTATTTTTTTTATTTTATTTTTTTTTTAATTTTTTTTTTCTGTAACTTTTTTTTCCGTTTAAACAACAATATTGCTTTGAATGACAGTAATATTAACTATATTACTGTTAAACACAGTAAAAATAACGAAACTATAGTTTAACACAGTGATATTGCTATATTAATCTCTAGCACATTAATATTAACACAACAAAATTCATTATTATTGTATAATAAAGTAATATTACTATGTTGTCCGTTCAACAAATGTAAACAAAATAAAAAAAAACCAAAAGAATTAATATTACTGTGAGTGACAGTAATATTACTATAGCAACAGTAATATTACAATAGTAGACAGTAATATTATTACGTTACTCCGTGAATAACTCAAACAAACAAAATATCCAAACAAAAGAATAATATTGATGTGGTTGACATGAATATTACTATAACAAACAGTAAT